TAAGTAGGGTACAAAACTAGTAACCAAATTTTTAAATACAATAGTAAGGTCATAAGTTATTCTCAAGATAATAGCTATATAAATTTTTTGATCTATATTATTTTTATTCTACCAATACCTATCAAAAATTAAATAAGATATTGTATAATATCCCATGCATTGCTCAAAAATTTGTCTAGGTTAGATTTTTAATATAATCTAAATTAGTATTTTCATACTAATTGGTTTTTTAGGATAAAAGCTTAAGATCTATGGTTTTAGGATAAATGTACTTTATTTGAAAAGATGAATAATCCCTATAAGGAATTTATGCATAGATAACTTGTTTTTACTAAGAACTTGAAAAATACCATGTCCAAGTTTTTTGCATAGCCACACTTCTTCTTTAATTTTAATTCAAATGGAATCCATCCATTCTTGCATACTCTTTAAAAAATATCATCCTTCTACAAAATAAGTATTGATCACATAGTGCAAATAGTACTTTATCTCTTGTTTTATTTTATCACTGTCTACTTATGCTTCTAATATTTTTTATTCATCAAAAAACTAATGAAGTTGTAAAATAAATCATTTAAAAGTTGTTCTTCGGGCATAGATTTAATGAAGTGGATTTTGGCGTACTTGTCTAAGTTAGTCACTACATCTACGAGCTCTAATTTGATTTGGTCTTTGTAACTTATCTGCTTTATTTGGCAATTCTTTTCTAATTGCATTGAGTCAATAGGTCTATGGGCCATCTAAAATTTAAGTATACTAGCATATAATACCATCTTATATATTGTACATAGCTACTATAATTATATTGATTACATACTTCTTATACTAATTACACTATTATACGTTATAAGTCTGTGATACTTGTAATACTCACTCTTTGTAACATAACATGTACAACCTTTAACAATGTACTTTATTTTTATTAAACCTAATTTTGATAATTCTAATTTTATTCAATTCTACCACCTAAAGATCTTAGTTGTGTGAAGAAGTATTAAATAAGAGTCATAAAATAGTACAATACTTGTATTAATTAGACATAAAGAGTAGCCCCTTTGAAAACTATGTGTGATTTGTACATACTCACGATTGCTCTAAGTCGATGTAAAGCGGTACTCTAGAGCTATATTATGTCTCATATCTACTATTTGTGGGTCTTTATTTGTAACCCTTGACTATAAGTTAGGTTGCATTCATACCTTATTTAGTATCTATGTAGAAAATCAAACTTATTTGAATTGGGGTGCATTTAGTGAATGACAGGCATTTAATAGTTGACTTTTATTATGATTTTAATAGTTCAAAAATTCATAATTAGAATTATTTTCTATACTTTAAAAATCAAGGTTTGAATTCTGGATATTAAATGATTGATTGTAAGTTTATTCATAATATCTAAACATTGTGTGTATTTTAATTTATTATGTATTGTGTCAAAATAAGTAGCATACAATATAACAAGTAGTAACAAAAGAATGATTTTAATAATTATTGGTTTACTTATTTATGTATATAATATTATATATAGATAAAATAATTTTTATTTCATAATACTATCTAAATATACATAATTATAATATAATTAATATTTAATATAAAATTATATTATATATTAAATAGTAAAAACTTTTAAATCAATCTACTTTTTTAAAAATTTGAGGATTGTGTGGTCAATTTTATTGTTTTATGAATGTACTGTGGAAATTTGCCAAGTTAGAGGTATTTCATAGACTACACTTTTGTATCTTTTTAATTTATAAGAGGGTGTTGAATCTCTCATATGTGATTCTTGTTTAGATATAGCAAAAAGATAGATAGATTAAATAATTTTCTAAATATTTAATCATATATTAAATATTAAATCATATTTTTTATAATTATATATATATATATATATATATATATATATATATATATATATGATTTAAGAATCTATATCAAAAATGTGCTTAAAATAAATAATAAATAAATAAATAAAATTATATTTTTAAAATTTCTTATAATTTTTTAAATCAAGATATAGACTAACACATTTAGATTTGCAATAAAAAAATATTTTGGTCTATTTTTTGCTTCTTCTCAATTTATACTACATCCAATGCTTCTAAACAAGTATTTTTCTTTACTAAATACATGACTATGGTAAGGCTTTGAACCATGCTCTTTCAAATGGGGCTTCTAGATATAAAATGCTTCAACTTATGACTTTTGTTATTAAATATATAAAACTATTAAATAATCAATATTTTAAAAATATATGATATGAAATAATATCTTTGCTTAATAATTGGTAGTAAAAATTAGATGAGATTTTAAAATACTTAGCTTTTACATTAATTATTCATAAAATATTATAAGTTAAGTTATGTTTGTCATAGAAATGTTTTTTGATGTTGAAACCATAATAGAATAGTGAGATTATTATTTATGTGCATACATACACACACATATATACACACACACATACATATATATATATATATATATATATATAGATGAATATCTTATAAAAAAATATTCTTAATATTCTTAATATTCTTAAAATCATAAAATATTCATAATATTTTTGAATATAAATCATATTAAATAAATTATCAAATAAATTTAATTAAAATTTTAAATTTTAAATTGTGTATCTTTAATATAATTTAACCTGATTTAATTTAATCTAAAATTTAAAAGATAAAATCCAAAATAAGATTATATTTATTTTAAAAAATATTTATTATACTTTATAATAAAAATAAATAAATATTGCTCTATATAATATCAAGTAAGTATTTTATAATGTCATGTAATTAGTTTTAAATAAAATCTTATAATTGACTAATTAAAAATCATTAAAACTAATTAATTTAGGTGGATCTTTATATTCAAGGGATAAGATACGTAGCCACAACTTTAAATCTATTAGTTGATTAAATAAAAAAAATAGTTGAATTGGCCTTATATTTTGAATAATCATACGAAGACTCTTAAAAAACAATATGAGATGCAATGCATATTTTCTTGTATGGCATGAATAGAATTTTCTTCCAAAACTTCTATTAGGTCTATTTTTAAAATGGTAATTAAAAAAAATTCAAATATCAAGTCAAAAATTGCTACTAATTTCTATTTAATTCTTTAAAAAATTAATAATAATACTTTATGTTTATAATTTTTAAAAGCAAAATATGAACTAATGTATATTAATTTATAATGAAATAATTCTTTGATTCATTTTATGATATCTACTTATTTTATAGTATATCTAAAGAAGTATATAAGATTATTTTTTAATTTTTAATGGTTATTTTAAGTATTTTTTTGATATTGTTTCTTGAATTAATTTAAAACCATCTCTTTAGGAGATACTTTATGCTATGAAGACAAGGTGAGAGGCCTTAACTTTCAAATGTTTTGAGTGGTTAAAACTAAGAAGCATTATTAAGTTGGATTTATATTTTAAAAAATAATTCCAAAAATCGTAAGAAGAAAAAATAAAATGGAATGCATTTGTTTTCTATATATCATAAATAGTGTTGCCCTTTCAAATTTCTATTGGGAGTATTTCATAGAAGTAGTTTCTAGAAAGCAATCTAAATGTGTGTCAAAAAAATACTTAAAATATCTGTTAAAAATAAATAATTTCCTTTATAATTCTTATAATTTTTTAAATCAAGATATGGGCTGATATATTTAAACTTGTAATAAAAATAAAAATAAAGGATTTGGTTTATTTCATGGCCTCTTCTTTATATTATATCCAAAGGACAAGGCTTTTAAAAAAGGGCTTTTCTTTATCGAGCAAAAGACCTTGTTAAGGCTTTTGAACCATTGCCTTTTAAAGTAGGCTTCTAGGTATGAAGTGCCATAAAGATGGGTCCAATAGAAATTCAAAAGAATAACACTATTCATGCCATGTAAGAAAAAATAACATTCTACCTATTTTCTAATCCTCTTTAACTCTTTTACACTTATTTTTTTAAAAAATAAAACTAACTTGAAATGGCTTCTCAATTTCAACCAATCAAACCATTTAAAAGTTAAGACCCCTCACCTTGTCTCCCAAATATCAAGTATCCCTTACAATTATTTTGTGCACAAATGCATTTACAGCCCAATTGTCCAATATTGTTATACAGTTACAATTGGACACGAGCGTAGAAAAATTAAGTCTCACTTTTATCACCAAGAAAAAAGTCAACTCCACGCCACCATCATGAAACCACGGTGTGCAGACACATCATTGAAGAGACTACGGTAACACACATAACCGTTTCAAACAAACCGGGTGTCGGCCGAGTTCTTCGGCCGACGGGGCGGGGTGGCAACCTAGGTGGGTCTGCAACTCGGAAACGTGAGTTGATCTTTCCAGAAGAACCTTGACCTTGTCACCAAACTGGCATCCATCTTGCCACGACAAGGAACCTCAAACTCATCACCTCAAAGGATAGTTGGAGAGCAGTAGTGGTAAGGTCTTCCCTCTTCTCGCACGTCTCGTGGTGGCCACGTCTGGCTGCACCCACATTGAGCGAACCCTTCGCTCCGCTTCTATGCAGAGTGTCATGGGACGTGGATTGTGTGGTCGTGATCTTGACACACAAGCTCAATGCCACCTCTCTTTTGACTACTCAGGGAGTGCTACTTATCTTTACTCCGAAACTTAGTTGCATAACCTCGATCCCTCACAGTTTAATGGATTTGTGGAGGATTGGTTGTATTGAGTGAGAACAATAGTGAGTTCTCTAGAAGTCGTTTCGAACGTTCTGAGCTGGGGCTCCAGATAATAGTCCGAGTGTTTGAGCTAGATTTGAGTTATATTCCTTCTAGTCACAACCGTCAGGTAATTCGGTAGACTCGTACCAGAACTTAATTGCCCTTAAGACACAGGAAACTGACCCAATTGATAGCAGGACCGTTTCGGTATGCGCCATGAGGCCCAACTCACAGGCCCTCACTGTAGAGATGAACAACACCAAGGTTATAATATGCTATCTCAGTGGGCCATGCACGCATTCACAGAAATAATATTTCAGGATAGGATAACGACTTGGTCGTGTTTGGAAAGAAAAAGTCGAGGAAGGATGAAATTGTATCCCGTTTCTCTATGCACCCCGGAGCCCAAAGGCATGCCACGAAAACAATAATTTAATAGAATATCCTACTGTACAAATTCTGTTTGCATGTATGACCTCGTATTATTTGAGGAGCTGCATTCCGCAACTCCAGCAGCTTTTGCTGGTGACCCAAATCCAACCATGCTTGAATACCAAATATGTAAAGCAAAAGGCCTTCATCGATTTTCGGCAAAATTGTTGTGCAGTTGCAGGCGCAGAGCAGCGTAACAGAAGAAATCGATTATGTCTTGCAACCACGTCCTACTTTGGGATAGTTGGAGGTGACGGTAGTCGGGAGAACGAGATTTTCGTTGCTTGAACTCTACCTGTGAACAAAGAAGGAACCAACATTCAGCAAGCCGAAAACCTGATCAGTCTGAGACTGATCTATAACGCACGACAGGAGGTGGCATCGTGCATGACACTCAGTCCAGTGGAGAACAAAACATTTCAATGCTAAATCGCTTTACAAGAAATTCATCTTCAGAACAATTAACTTCCAAAGCAAAGAAATTAGATTTTACAATAATCTGTATAACCTGAGATAACTAACTTCACATATAGACCTACTTCGGGTGAAGAAATCTTACAGACGCCAGGCCAGCCTGAGAAAGCTCGTCTAGTGTAAGCGGGACTCTGGAAGTAGGACAGGGGTCCCTGCATGAAAAGACATTAATGTGATTGTCCTCTGGTTGTTGAGGACACTTTAAACAGATCTGACAGTGGTATGCACAACTTGGTGGGGTCTCCGTCTTCGTCTTGGACATTGACAGATCCTCTACAGCCAGCAGACCCACAATAACAGGTTAAAACCTCCGTCTTCGACATGAACCTGTAGTCGTATGTCAGCTCCTCCCCAATCTCAAGGTCCCGCTTCGCAAAAATGATGATCCGATCTTCTCCACTCGCAGTAACAGTTCTCGAATAACAGTTGGGCTCACAAGAATGGTTGATGAGATGCGCGATAGAGCCAGTCGTGGTGGCATCTACTACACGCTCGTCATCAATTCGGAACATGTAAGTTCCTGCCCCAACAAGTGAGTCGTAGTGTCTTCTTTCTCTGCTGTCAGCAACTACGGGTCTGACAACTTCGCCAGCATACTCGATTATCATGTCATTTGCGTAGTGTACACGTTTTGTAAACACCCCCATTCCGTGAATTGCTGATTTACCGAACACGAGGCGCTGGCTCAAAGATCCCTTCATTCTGCGGAACTTGTCTGACATCGACAAGATCTCAGCCTCTTCATCAGACTTCGGACGGGTGGGGTCAGAGAGGGCAGATGCGCCAACGGACCCTTTGCTGGCCTCCCAGTGCAATGACCACAAACTTCCTCCGTTTGTGTAACCTGCTACCTTCGGGGGAGGGTTTTGTCTACAACCAGTAACACTGTACGGAAGATTTTCAACAAACAAGCGTTTGGCAAGGGCTGCAGCAAGCGCATCGGGTTCTCGACGCCCACGTCTTGCTGCTGCATTGTAGGGTTCGCTACGAGCGCAGCCAGAGGAGTTCAATGGTGGACAGTACGACATGCAATCAGTCATAACGTGTGGGATCCGTTGAGCAACTTCGCACGTTGAATTAGTTGGCTGCTTGTGTTTCCGACAATACGCAAGCAATCTCATATCAGATTTTCCATACTTCTTGTGCTTCTCTTCTTGAAGCTCCATGCAAAGTCCAGCTGATCTTGCACAAAGAGGATGAAAAGCCGTTGTACAACTCCTCACAGGGCACTGAATACATGCACCATAAAGTACTTTGCATACGACGCAAGTCAGCCTCCAACGCTCTTTGCTAACTGCCTTGATTCCATGGATAGGTTCCATTCGCTTTACATCTACGAAACATGTTTCAGGTATCCACATAGCGCACATAAGATGAGCCCAGCGGCCATCTGTTGTCTTCTTCATCGCTCCGCCTGTGATAGGACAGAGACAACAAGGAGGTCGGGGCTTGGGTGCGTCAAGTTCGCATAGATTACACAACCACAAATCTCCATCCGGGAGTTCTTGTTCTCCATAGCAATCCATATGCACCATCATATGGCACTTATCACATTGCAGCAGGAGATTGTTATCGTATTCTTCGTCTAAGTAACAAACTGTGCAGCGATCCAAGTGCTTCCACAAGACGTCGACGGGTTTATAACCGGCAGGGAGTGCAGTCTCAATATCTTCATTCGGGGCATTCGCCAACCAACTCTCCTCACTCTCTTCCCCATGTCTCTCAGTTGCCCCGGCAACATCGTCCACGCAAACGAGCAGGTGAGCCATGCTATTAGGAAGCTTGAACTCTGTTAAGTACATCTCCACTTCTTCCAATCCTTGCACAAAGGCCACCCGTTTACATTTCGTATGGTATTTGAGGTTTAGACCTTCTTCTAAGGGCACTAGCTTTTTCTCATTGAACATACAATGATCATAGCTGCCAAAAAACTGCAGCGGAATCATGCCTTTCTTTCCAGGCTCCATATCACAGGCACTTGCATGGTCTTCATCCATCACAATTGCTGGCCACATGGGGTAACCCTTCACTTTGGCCCAAACAATATCCCCCAAGTTAAAAATTCTATCTTCATCGGTAGCCGTAGATCCCACCTCCTCGACTGGGTCTGCTCTCTTCAGCAATTTACCACCTGCAGAAATTTCCAGCTCAACCAACTCTTCTGGGGAGACTTTCAACTGAAAGCGTTCCTTCGAAACTAAAACCATTTCCAATTCATTATCTTTGTAATCAATCCTGTGCTTCTTAGTTAGAGGGTTGTAGTCATGGATTACACCTGGATACCATTCGTCATCCAAGGGCCAATAAACTTTGCAAATTCGACCAATCAAGGCTACAGGATGAATCAAGCTCAAGTCAACCTCCATCCACTGACGTTGGTTTTCTTTTAGTATCTTAAAACTCTGCACAGCACCCAGCAGTCTTCGCGTGAATGCGTCCATTCCGCCGGAAACAGCGAGCTCTTGTATACTCCCAGCATCTACTTTCTGATTTCGTTTTCGAGACTTCTTTGGCCTTGTGTTTACTGGTGTCGCTGGCATCATAGGCATTCCTGGTTCAGGTGTCGTTCCACGCATCGTATCTTGATGAATGCATTTTTTCAGCGGGATACTCGCTATCGGAGGGATATGACTTGGACAAGGAGCGTCAGCAATCACCTCCACATCTTCAGTCACCTCCACCCTCTGGAATGCATGAGAGTGTCTCCCACAGACAATCTCCAAATTTCCTACATCCGCATCGGCATTCGCAGGATGAGAATCTGATAGTGCAGCTTGACATTCCTGGACTCCCAACGCACTATCCTGAGGAGACTCCACCATCTCAGGTCCATGGTTAGAACCTGCAAGAAGCTCCACTTTGACTCTTCGGTTCCTTCCCAATACAATCCTTGGCCGTTTACCTGGACGGGGCTTATCTTGACCTCTCCTCTTGGTCGCCTCTTTCGGGGCTACTTCGAATCGCTGTCTCTTTTTCGGAGTTGCGCTAGCACCAACGGCTACTTCCTCTGAAATCGGACCAGCTTTGAGTAACACTTCTGCCATATCCATTTCCTTCCGCGCCAAAGTAGGTATTTCCACAGAATCCCGATCGCCACTCAGGGCCTCAACTGGGTGTTTCTTTAAATGAAACTGCTTGATCGGATAAGATGGGATTGGGGTTTGATTAGCGATTCTAACGGCCTCACATTGCATTGAAGAATCCGCTTCATTGCTTTTCAAAGCGGGTGAATCTACAACCTTTGAGCTAGTCTTACCACCCCAAAACTTCTCCAGGGTCAATTGCTTCGGTAAGGATCCTGACGAAGAGGTTTTGCCCTGTCCAACAGCATAACCGGCGGACTTAAGTACAGTCGATACACCTGAGAAAGAACGTGCAGCCTTAGGACTAGGTAAGGGATCCTTCCGCTTGTACACAATTGGGAGGCTATCAGGGATAGACATCACACTAGTCTTAACGGAACTCTCGATCTCGTTCATTCTGATCATTGAAATTGAGTCCAATCCTTCATCCGTATGTACTGCACTCTCATTGCGTCCCATCACTGAATTTGCTTAGGAGCTACGAGCAGTTGTCGACATCTTAATGATCTGCAAAGACCACACTGGCAGCAACAACATAGTCCGTTAGACTTCCACCAATTGACTTGAGGAAAACCACTTCGTGGCCTGCATACTTTCTACACCAGCTATGTTGATACCCACTTATGAATGTCTGAAGGATTTCAACAAATCGAGTAGGGCATCATAAATGTTTGAAAACGGTATGCCGAAACGAAACAAGTGCGGTCGAAGAGTACTGAAAGAATATCGCCAAAATACTAAGTACATAAAAGACGCATACGACAATGTGACACCTGTAATACAACTCCCGAGGATGCAACAGTACATTAAGTCACACCCACCTACAGGTACACGGAAATCTTTGTTCACGGCCCGCTAAGCTCTACCAGTGATCCTCCATTGGTATTCATATGGAAATAAACAGTCATGACAGTAACATCCCCACACAATCCCGAGGACGTGCAATCCCTTGTCCAACATATTGATAACAATAGGAAAGTGTTGTGTAGTGAGGTAGAGATTGGGACGCAGTTCCACAACTGATAAAAGTCTACTTAAGTTAAGTAACATTATACTACGACGGCAACTTCAGAGAATGTGTATTGTACCCCGCTCCACTTGGCTCTCTTTCTCTGTCTCACTCATTCTCCCCCTCTCGCTCTATCTCTCACTTACATACACAAGTATTTATTTCAGAATTCCCTTGCTCCATCCACAACGAGCCTACTAAAACACACTAGACTAACTCGGAGTACTCCACAACCAGAGGAACACCTGAGTCAATCTCTTACAATCCACACAATCACCAGAAGCCAACATAACCCATACAGGCCACGAGGACTCAACAACAACAACAACAACAACAACCATGATCACAAAAATGCTAGCCAGAACCTGACACCACCACGAAAACCTAACTACTGCAAAATCCTTCAAACCCACATTCCGAACACCCAGAATCTCACGCTCTGCCACCAAATCCGCGCCTCCAACGCTCCAGACAAAACTCAAACACGCCCGTGTGTCCAAAATCACAATTCGCTCTCAACCCAACACCCAATTCGTACACGCAATTCCTTGAAAAACCGTGCCAAAATCCTCTCTCCGGACAAGCAAGACCCAAATAACTCCGCGACGGGTCCCTGCATCTAGATGTGGAAAGTATCCGTTACCAATCTGCCCCCAACGAAAGGGCTCCGTGCCTTTCCAAAATCATCATCCGTGCCCTGGTGCGGCGAGGTGATGGGGGCATTGTTCTTCAATCTTAGTGTCGATGAGGAATCATAAACTGGGAATTGGGGAATCCATAGCCTGTGCACACTAGACTTACTGACCGTTAAAGCAAACTTGAGAAGTGAGTCAGGAATGGACGGGCTCCTCCTCTTCGGTCCCGCACCCGCTTCACCACCATCACCCACCCACCCCACTGCGACGAAGGAGCTTTGCGGCATTTTTCTGTGCGGCGGGAAAACGCGGGTTTAGGTGCTGACGGGAAAATTATGGCGGGGAATGGTGGGGCCGTTGGGCGTGGTCGTTCCTCTACCCATTTGAGGGGCTCACACTTCGTGACTTGGATAATCGTGTGGGGAATGGTTTCGTTAAGGTGTACTTTTAAGTTTTGATTACGGAAGTTTAATACGATTTAGTAGATTTTTTTTCTTTTTTTACTTTCATTTGAATGTGCTAATGTTATTTTTTAGCATGTTTTTGAATGACATGGTGATTGAAAATGAATAGATTTATACTTTTTAATATATAATTAAAGTTAATTGTGTGCAAAAAAAGATCGAATGATTAAGAATAATAGAAAAAAAAAAAAAAAAAAAAAAAAAAACTTTTTTTTCACTTGAAAAGGTATATGATGATTATGATGAAATAATGTTCGTGTTGTCAACATAAAGATTGCATAAGTTCAGTTTCAATGTTAAGTTGTTTTGACACAAACATAGTAGACATGTCAACTTCATTGTTTCTAAGTTGTGAGTGAAATTCACAATTCCTGTTGATGTGGACTTTATTAGATGAAATATTATCCTTCTGCATAGTTATATATTGGTGAAATACCAACCCATTTTAAAATATATATAATATGGATAATTAAAATAATGTTTATTCTTCAAATGTAAACTGGAAAAAATCAAACTTTTAATTGTCATCAATCACATTAAATGTTACGTATTTATTCATATTGTTTAATTTAAATATGAGATTTTATACTTGATGGTGTTACAACATAAAAATTTGTTGTTCTTGTCATGGGAAATGTTCTAACATCCAAAACAAAAGCATATGCACTTAAAAATATTACAATATATTGTGTTGTAGAGTTCAACACAAATAAGAAAACTGCATTATAATTAATTGCAGGATAAAATGATGATGATGATGAAATTAATAACAACAATAAAAAAATGTCAATGCAACTATTAGTAACTTTATAACCTCTATATATTGCTAAACTTTCAGACTAATTCTCTACATTTTACCCTCTTCATTTTAGATTGTTTTTTTTTTATATTTTATTTTATTTTACTGTAAGTTTTCCTCCACAGTATACATTTTTAATCAATTTGCATGCAATATCATTGTATTAAAATTGTAAATCAAGTCCTTAATTTTCAATCTTGATGAAAATTTATTAAATACACTTGGTCTCCCACACATGTGTATATACATCTGTAAATGAACAATTGAATAAATAGGGGATACCCAAATTGACTTCCCCAATCAACCTGAATATGTTGTGTTGTGCAGAGAAAGAGAATGAACAAATCGTTTCAGAAAGGTTGGAATGATATACAGTCACAGTATTAAGTGACAGAACTGTTTGTCACAATAGACTTTAGGTTAAAACTTAACTGGTTAAAAGTGCTGTACACCAATTTTGGTGACTGGAAGTTCTGGATTGACAAAAGTAGCAAAATTGCAAAAAAACCCATTCCAACGTGTAATATTGCTTCAAATATTTTACATATTTCATTCAATATTATTTTTTGTGTTGACAGTAGGTAAGAAAAATGATCTAAGCAAGACGTTCAAAACCTTGTGAAAACCAGCAATGCTTTCAATAAGTCCTTATATTTACAAAATACGACCAAGACAACTCTCGGATTCGATCAGGTAACTAGAAAGATGTAGGAACACTGTTGCTTCTGCTCCATCGGCTATATCTTAATTCAAATCAGGAAAACGCTTGCTTTAGTACAGAAGCTAAACCAAAATATTCAAACAAAACAAATTGATTTCATACATTGATCGAATATCAGAGCTCTCATGATTAATGAAAACAAGGAGTCATTAATCGCTATTCTAAACTTAGCACATTAAAGGTACAAGATCAGAGGGGTAAAAACCAAACAAAAGAAAGAAAAAAACCACAACCAGGTAACACAAGTCCATATTCAAATCTGAACTTTGTGCAACTGAAGGCCCTACTGCATTTGACGAATTTCGAAACTAATCTAATGTCAAGAGGAATTCGCCACTGCAAGAAAGAGGTCACATGTAATATCCACCAGGGCCTCCGTTTGCAGGGGGCATGCCTTGATGGCCTGGCCCGTGCATTTGTTGGTAAGGTGGCATAGAATGACCAGGAGGTCCCAAGTGATGGCTCTGTTGACCTTGTTGATGCATTCCAGGTCCCATGTACCCAGGTGGTGCCATTGATGGCCCTGGCCCCGACATTGGGCCCATTGAAGTAACTGGACCAGGGGGACCCTGATAGGAGCCTGATGCACCAGGAGGACCATGGTGTCCCACAGCTCCACCATGTTGATGACTCATGTACATAGGACCAGACATGGGTTGTCCTGGCATTGGACCAGAAACCTGTTGTGCTTTACCACTCCCTTCAGTATCCCATGACTGCTGTTGAGCTCCTGAGTCTTGAGGAGGGGGAGCAGCCCCATACTGAGCGGCTGGATAGGCAGGGCCAGCCGCAGCGGGGCTGCCAGGACCAACCCCTGGTGCTTGGCTCAAAACAGGAGGTTGAGTTGCAGGAAGGCCAGGGTTAGTGTAATCTCTGCTTCTGTCGTTATTGACCTGCATCAACAACCCAGTTCAAACAATCAAAAGGAAGTCGAAAACATCAGTTGATCTGGTGTCCAAAACATCCACAATAGCTACAATTGATACAACAAGGAAAAACCAGGTCGGTTGTTATACATCGTTCGAGAGTATCAATCAAGTAGGCACAGCACCACACAAAGCACTTCCAAGCATAAACGTGTTACTTATCAACCTGACTCTTACTAGCCCATATCTAGCGGTAAAGAAGTCAATAGGTGGTGGCTGTTGAACACAACAATAAGATCGCGCAACATTAAATGTTCATAAATGCCGTCCACCGGCTATTGACTTCTAGCATGATGACTTCACCATGTGGAGCGACCAGACTAGGAGCACATTAGCTGCTACTAGTATGACGATGCCAGAAACACTTGTTTTTTTGATGGTGCCCACATAGTGAAGTCATCATGCATGGGCGGGCGACAAACATACAAGAGGGAGAGTGCCTTTACATTTAAATCAGTATGCCGAGAGTAAGATAGGTGAAGCTTGCAGAAGCCTCCATCGTAAATGCAGTGACCTTCAAGTGCCTCCTTTGCTCCAACTGCAGTAGGAATATCTAACAAAGAAAAAAAAAACACTTCATTAGAGGCTTATTAGAATAATGTTGCGAACCCCCAAAGCTACGCACAATCTCAGGGTTACATGCAACTCGTGTTAAAGGAAAACGACAAAATAAACTTGAAACCAGTTGTCATGATACAGACTTCCCTGTTGTAATATTATGATATAAATTATGTCATAAAATCTACTAAATTTCAGTACAGTGGATCCTATTTTCAACAAACGTTGTCGTTTACATATTGATTATTTGCAAAAATAGATCAAAAGCACATCAGCTTCATTTAATTTTTGCACAAAGTATTCCTTCAATATAGACTTTAATATTGTGGATGAGACAAGTCACTTAAGTACCTGGATATTGAACTAAAGCTTGAAAACCAGCACTTTTCTCGAAAATTGCGATTTTCTGAACGAATCCAAAAGCAGAGAAAACCTGCAGAGAAGAAACCGTCAAAACCACCAAGCCCCTAATATTCCATAGAATCAGAACAGCAGGGCATGCGAAGCTCAAAAACCGAAACTTGTCACCTATTCAAGAAGACGAAAGGATGCTCACCTTGTATTAAACTGCAAGAAGTCCACAATTTCACTCTAATAGTTCTTTACAAATTCCTCGTGAACTATAAACAAATTAAAAAGATAACAGAAACAAGTAATATCATGAGCCGAACATAATGTACGTACAGTGTGTATTACGTCAATCGTTACGGCGTACTGCATGTTTTCAATTGAAACAAGCAGCACATTGCTCTCAGGCTCCCTCCTCTTTCCATCAGGTCCAACGCTAAACTGTTGCAAACAACCATAGAATGAACATGAATGTAAGATTGAAAGAGCGAAAATCCATAGGCACTCTTCATACATGATATGAAATTTCAAGGGACAAGTGTGTATACTAACCTGACCACTTCCATCAATTGCTGATGGGGCCACCGGAAGATACGGATTGGTGTAATCCCTACAAGAAAACCATAAAAACACTTTCTGTGAAATCGGACACAACTCTACAGAACAGAAGAAATAATTCTTAGAGAAAAAAATTGCGAATACAATGCTGTAAAACGGATATTCAGAAGATAAAGATAACCGATATCATCATAGCCCAGTACCGGCTTCGATGACTTTGAAACTTCACATTGAGGTCGTTGTGTGCAGAGAATGATATTCGTAAGTGGCAGGGACCAACGTGGTCAGGCAGCAAATATCTGCAAAAGAAAAAAAATCAGAAAATACTATCTAAAGATGCAGCTTAGTAAAAGCTCTAAAATCATCTCCAATGAATGGAAGGAATAGAGGAACTATACCAGACACAATCCTTCCTAGATACAGAGAGCAGTGCAGTTCGAACTCATTGCCAGTAAAGCAGTTCAATACCTGGGTATGCTCCGTCCTTCAAGGGCCGATTTGGCAGCAGAAGCAGTATTAGCATCACTGAATTGTACTAGTGCCTGCAAAAACGATATCCCATAACCACGTGTAAGAAAATGAGTCATTAAGTAGCATGGTAGCAAAAAAAAAGATGCTTCAGAAAGTGTAGGGGTGTGAAGGTTGAGAACTATACCCGCACCATACCACAGGATTAGAATCTAGTATACAACAACCAACCTCGGTGAAAGCCAAGTGACTCTCACCATAATACACACCTGGAAGCCAGCGCTTTTCTCAAAAGTCGCAATCTTATGAACAAAGCCAAAGGCAGAAAACACCTGCAATAATTTCGTAAAGTACATAAGTATATGTTACCAGTGCTTCAAGTCAGTAATGGAGCAATCCTTGTGACTAGAACTGCCATGCCGGTAGAAGGGATATAGCCAAGAAACCGCATCTGTAACCCAACACAAATCAAGTTGATAATCGCGAGATTCACGAAAACTCAGCAAGATGGCTAGAGTAATATTTCTAAAAACACTCAACCTGCAATATATGAAACTCTTGAACTACAACATCCTCTACTGTAGGGTCCACGCCTATGTCTCAAAATACTGGACCAAAAAGACCGTGCTAGCCCGGTAATATGATAATTCCTGACGACGCAGAGTACTATTAAGCATAACACTAATGTTGACGACAGATGGTGACCGCGGGCTGTAGACAAAGCCATGTGCTATATTGACACAACTGATTATCCAATAGTACGCAGAGGACAGTGTGCTCAGTATAAACAGCTCAGTTTTACGCAAAAAAATTAGATAGTCTGAGATGGGAGCGAAATCCAAAGTCAGCCACCCACAAAAGAAAACTAAAGGTTGGTTCAAATGCATGGATAGGATCGCATGGAAATTGTATGAATTGTTGATAAGAGGGCTGCTGAGTTCTAGGAGTTGAAACAGAGTGAGATTAGTCAATCATTTTCGAGGACGTAGAATCTAACGAACGGGTCCAGAGAGCTATAGGGAATGATGGGCCTGGAGGAAAATCTAAGGGAACATGAATGAGATGGAATCAATCTCAATTTGCCATAGGGTTAAGAGTTAAGGTCGAGAGGCAGGGTTAGGCAAGGGAAAGATAAACAAACACACATGCGCTTTCTCCCATGCACCAGGCTGGCATCGACGATGTGGGCGTCACATGGACCTGCTGATCCATGTAGTTTTAAAGTCAAACTGTGTCCACCACAACCCCATGAAGAAGAAAGCTGAAATGTAAGAAGCATTCTAAATCAAACCGGAATCGACAGATATCTTACCGATCCTTTCTTGACATCTAAGTTTCTTTAAGCCTGTACGCGGACATGGTGATTCAGTAGCAGTAGAAAAGACTCGCATCCTCTCTGACTCCACTCAATGTCAAGCAAGTTAACTACCTTTAGGCTAGAACAGTTGGTTGAGAGAGAAAAACTTACAAGGTGTAAGACGTCAATGCTGACATCGCCAGCCTCTACGCCCTCAATGGTTACGAGTAGGACATTGCTCGCAACATCCCCAGAGTTTTTACTGGTGACAATTTCTTGCCTGTTAGAGTACTGCAAGTACACCGTCTTTCCTCGCACCTGAGCCGGCTCTGATGATGATGCATAATATGACACCATTGCAATAGCTTGATTTAAGTCGGCCTAGGTAAAACCCAAAGATCGAATCCAGGATTAGGCATATAACAGATGAGGATAAACCAGACAAACGAATGTAATGACAAATATAATATGGGTTGAGACAACATTTAGCCCAAATATAGGAGCGCATGATGCATTACCAAATAAAGACCCTCAGATACATGTCATACTCTAACCATGTATTGAGCAGGATGCCAGAGCTGTCAATTGTAAAATTTAAAATATTGTTGACCATCATCGTTGCTGTGGTTCATGACAATAAAGGGTTCAGCAAACAGACAATTTCTTCACGTCGAATCTATAACAAGCCTCGCGGAACTGGTTCAAAGGAATTGGCGCTAGATTGCAAAATCTCTCTAAATAGTAAATAAAATTTATGTTGTCCTCAGCACACCAGACACCTCCCCAATCATACACACGATGAAAAAAACAAGAAGAAAAAAGAAAAAAGAAAACACATACGCACACACACACAACGAACGGGATCCAATCATGCCACCTAACCCTAAGAAACACCAAAAACAGATCACCTATTTCCAGTGCACATACCCGACTCAACATACCAAACTCACTTCGAATTCCATACAATTCTAGCGTTCGTATCACAAATTTCAACCAACGGAGTAAAGACAAAGGAAACATACGCACACTACAACCCTAATGTTCCACCCCCAAAGAAGACCTAGCGAATCCAACCACATCATAATTATAGATCACTGCGAACCCTAACAGGCACCACAACAAGAAACGAACCCGAGAGCGCTGGGATAGGAAGAATACTCACGAACTCCACGAACGCCTGGTTGTGGTTGGCCCCGACATTGACCTTGGTGTTGACCACCTTGCCGAAGGGCTTGCACAGCTCGATGAGCTCCTCCTCGCTGCACTCCCACGGCAAGTTGCGCACGTGCAGCACCTTGGACGGAGGCTGCGTGTAGCGGAACTGGGGTTGACCGGCGGTGGACGTCATGGCGAAGCAGGATGCACAGCGCTGCAAACAGGAGCCGGGAGGTCCGGTTCGGTGGCGAGCAGCAGGACCGACGAGACGAAGGAAGAAAACAAACGTAAACGTGGAGAAGAAGAAGAAGTAGTAGTAGTGGAAGTATAGGGTAAGGAAGAAGAGGAGAAAAGACGTTAGGGCTCGCGAAGGAAAGTGGGTAGAAGAGGAAAAGAGGCAGGGAGCGAGGAAGGGCTGTGAGGGAGGCACTACTGCTGCTGCTGCTGCTGCTCGAGATTCTGATGCCTCCTTCTTCTTCTCCTAATCTTCTTCTTCTGCTGTTGCTGATGCTCGTTCCTGGCGATGCGAGCTGTCTTCCTTGTGTCTCTCGCTTCCTAGCCTCTCTCTCGCTCTCAGGCTCTCGCTGGCTCCGTCGCTCGCTGGCTCGCTCGTTCCGGATGGGACCACCGAGCGCGTCCCGCTCACCCCCGTCGGCCATGGCTTGTGAGCGGCGTTGCGCCAGGCCTGCGGCCCCGTCGGATGAGTTCCGTCGCCTTGGGATGATTTTCCTCTCGCTGACGAATGTCTTCATTCGTTTCGATGTCTGTACATAATTCTCTTAGATCTTGGAAGCTTGTGGAGGTTTTTATAATGATAATCAGGTTTCTTTTAACTAGGGCTTTCCCTGAAATACCTAATTTAGCTTATTTTAGTTCTGCAGCTAGGTTTTATTTCAGGTAAATTAAGAATGAAAGAAATTCATCTATAGAATTGTCCAAAATATCCATCATTGTCAAATTCAATAGACTTTGTCGAATTGTTTAGAATATAGGATACTCTTGAGTTAGAAGTTCTTAAGGCACTGCCAATACTTGGCTTTCTTCTACTTGATTATGAAGAAGTCGAATTTGACAATATTTATACTAGGAAAAATGGAGGCCCACTTGCTACAAAATTTTTGAAGTTGTGGAAATCAACCATTGCAATAAACCCATCCAACATAAAATTATATTTGCAAATTGGAGCACTTGTCAACATCACCCTTGAAGGTCATCTCCTTGTGATAGGTGCATACCATGGCTTGACATTGATTTTCAATATCCTCAATGGATTGAACATTCCACTCAATCAATTCCAATCTTAACTTGTACCAATGGATGGAAATACATAGGAGATATGTCTATTGTGTATACAAATCATAAAGCAAAACTTTCAAAATAACCTTACTGCTGATATCATTACTGTGATTGAGTTGGACAACAATGGATGCAATGTCAGTGAGCCCAATAAATAAGGCTGCTACATAATAAATCATAGTTTCAACTTCAATTGTGAATAATGAAGCCATGAGGCTCATTACAAAGGTGCCTTGATCTTGAATGAAAGCCTCAACATTTGTAAAAGCTACACACCATGATCTGTGGATGATCAAATTTGGGGCATCATAAGCCATGGCTAGAGTCTCCACATTGTGTAAACTTTGCAATTTGTATAAATCTACCAATGATTAAATTAAGCCTTTGAGTTGGACTTTTTGTTAATTAAAAAGGATGTTCAATCCTTGCAAATATGTCACAATAGTTAAGATTACTTCTACAATATTATCAAATATAAGCAATACCACCCACTAAAAAAGATGAGGAATACATACAAGCAGCTTCTACACAAGGTACTTGCAGATCACCATGCACCTTTGCTACAAAAATCTACTTGATTCATTTATGGACAACCATCATGATGAGATTGTACTATCAGCAAAGATAAAAGATAAGGTCCATCAAGATGTTGACAAACTGGTTGTTATATAGCATGACATACTTGACTTAGATTATAAGGTCGAATTAGTGCAGAGTATACCATATCCCTATAATTTCATCACCAATCACATTGACTGTCTTCATCATAATACTAAAAATTTGCTCAATCATTGCTCATTTTTCATCCGTGTTAATTCCAACTAGTTGTATTTTCTAATTTGAAACAATGACATTCAAAAGTTTTGCATCTACAACAAAGATGACTTTGATTGTCTTGCAATCGAAAAGCAGAATGGCAAGAAGGTGGAAGTTGTACAACTTTGATTGATGCTCAAATCAAACTTAGAAGTCAAGATAAGAAGTGCCTTACTTTGAGCTGACGTCAAGAATAAGCAAAAATGTCTATTATATGTCGAGGAGCTTGGTGATTTGTTATGAGCTCACAATATAAACCACTTTCATAAATAAAGCCATACGGTTGTTAATACATCCATTGAATTAATCCATGTACGACACAATCTTTGTAACTTCCATGAAACATACTATCATTTAGAATGAGGCTCAAAAGAGATAAAGTGAATCACGAGAAAAAACAATTGCAAAAAATTGATCTCCATATTATATGCTTTGTAATTTAGTTCTTCCTTTCTATTGAGCCGAACTTGATTGTTGTTTGCATCTTCAAATAATTTAAAAATTAACAATACTTTTTCACTAGTCGGTGCAAATTCCTCATCATCTATATTAAACAATATATCACTAATAACTATATCTATAATGTCTTGATTGATTGTAAACATGTGTGCCTTCTTGGTCTTAAAATGAGTTGCAAGGGTGTTTTTGAAATTCATCTAGTCAAAGAATTCCTTCTTCAAGGCATCTTGGAGTGTATTGTACTTTGTCCATGCTTTGGCATGCTACAACTTTATATTTTTTGTAATATTATTTATATAAAAAAGAATTAAAAATATTTTTACATTCACCATTTACTTTTCTTTATACCTTGTGAGATTAATTTAATCATGGCTAAGCTTCTTATAGAATAAGCACCATGCTAATAAGAACTTTGTCAGTGTTTTCATTTCATGGATTTGATGTAAGGCCAAATTTTGTTTCCATGGAGGATTATCAATAGATTTATAACTCCTTCACCATGGTAAATTTGATATGCATACTCCAATGTGACTTTTGTGTTGCAGATTGGTATTCCTTTCTACAAATAGCATCATTTGGTGCTTCTTCCAACTATACAGAGGAACATCGTTGGAGCCTTATTTCAGAACATCTTTCTAAGCTTATTCTAAAAAAATTAGGATTTTTTGGAAAAATATCCTAATTTAAAGAGGCTTAATAATAATGCTATGATTTGTTGTGATATTAAAATTGTCTATCATGGATGATAGAATGATAATTTTTCATTCCTATTTTTTATTGTAATTATTTTTTATTTTTTAGTTTTTTTAAATGTATATTGAAATAAATTTTTATTACAAAAAATATTTTTGGTTATTATTTGAAATATTTAATTTTATTAATATACTATTTCATATAAACAATATTTAAATATAAATATAAATATATACATATGCAATAGAGTTTCTCTAATGGATCAATAATATATCATATCTGTGAAAAAATAAATATATGCACAAATTAAAAGATTTCTTATATTAAAAAGGAAATCTTATATTTTAAAGAAATTTTGATAAAGATGGAATTAAACATGCCATATATCATTTATAATTTCATTATTTACACAACAACATAATAGTTATATTTTTCTTTTTTAAACATGCAAAATATGATAAATCATTTAAAGATATGGCCAAATTTAGATATAATTTGTTTTAGTGCATAAAATATAATAAATAAATAAATAAATATTCATTAATATTCCTGGTATTTTCCTTATTAATTTTTTTGAAATGATAAAATCACAATCTATAAAATATTCTTTATTTGAAAATATATATATATATATATATATATATATATATATATGTAATATTTATGTTAAAATATTTTTACTTAATGTCAATAAATTTATTAAAAATTTTAATATATTAATATGTCTTAATATCTAATAATAATTAAATTTGAAAATATTAATATAGATTCTTCAAATGGATTTATTTAACTTTAAATCAAATGAGTCAAAACACCAAATTTATCTTAATTAATATTAAGATATATTATTCTAATAAAAAGCTTATAAAAGTTAGATCTTATAATTATAAAAATGAATTATATCTAAAATAAAAATCAAAGATACTTGTTTAACTAACTCAATAATATAAAATGATTTTTGCATATTCCAAGTACAACATTGTCAATAATTTAATCTATATTTCATTAAGTAAATTTTTTTCTTTGAATAATATAATCAATCATTTTTATTTTAAAATAACATCTAAATGTAGTGTAATAATATTCTATAATTCTACTACATAATATGTAAAAATTTATAGATGTATATTCTTTTATTTTATAAAATTTTATTGAGTGTTTTAAATTTGTTCAAATTGTGATTTTATAAAGCCATGTATACCAAATCAGAAATATTTTATTAAAATCCAATTTATTTGATTTGTCTTTCTAATGTTATCATCATATATTTAGATTTTCAAAGAATGATAATAAGTAATATTTGCAAAATCAAACTGCTAATAGAATTTTATATGTATATTAGATAAATTTTCAATAGAAATGATAAGATATTGAGACTTAAATTAATCTAATTACATGTTATAAATCAATATAAATAATTAGAAAATATTTTAAACTTTTATAGTAAAATTTAAAAATATGCAATATATAAGAAATTTTATAAATTCCAAAATACCCAAATTTATTATTACATACATTCAATAGGAAGATTCTAAGAATATTCTATTAGATTCTAAAAGGTTCTAAAAGATTCTTAGAAGGTTTTAGAAGATTTTAGAATATTTTATCAAGTTCTATAAAGTTCTAAGAGAATTAAAGAATTTGTCTTAAAAACTTCTTAGAGTTGCTTCATCTTCAAAGAACATAGAAACTTCTTAAGAAGCTTTCTAAGATTGCTTCATCTTCAAGCAATATGAGAACTTCTCAAGAAGCTTCTTAAGATTGCTTCATCTTCAAGCAATATGAGAACTTCTCAAGAAGCTTCTTAAGATTATTTAATCTTCAAATAATGTAAAAACTTCTTAAGAAGTTTCTTAATACCTAATATATATTAGAGTTGAAGTTGAGGATATCGTCTATCTTGACAAATCATCTCTTAGAGCTCTAACTCACCTCTCTTGATATTGATCTTGTACTCATTAAGTTTAATCAAGTTCTTGTTAGCTTTCTAATTCAAACTCTTCCATTCAACTTCTTGATTGGTTTCATATATAATGTATTTGTGATACTTATTTGGTACTTTTTATATTAAAACTTATTTATTTATTTTTATTTTAAATTATATATTTAACTTAAATTGATAAAATATAAAATAATAGTTTTTTATTATTAAAAAAATTAGTAAATAATTATATATATTTTAATAGTATATTAGCAAAGAAATATGTTATTTTTTAATATTTGTATCAATTATAAAGTTTTTCCATCAATTTCAATATCTTAAATTTTGCCTATTTTTTATTATAAAAATATCATTATAGCATTTTGATAGTTCATCTTAAAAAAAATGATGAAAGTATAAATTAGAGGAT